ATGTGATTCTGCCTCCTGACTTTCAGATGAAGATGTTTGACAAAAACCAGGATGGTCGTTTGGATCTGAATGATTTGGCGAGGTGATGCTAATCTCATCGAACACATCGTCAGTCACATGACTCGGGAATAACTGATTGTGATTGGTCAATCAGATGTTTGTGTCTAATGACTGTAAACTGTATAACTAATGGTTTTCTTTGTCAAGTTTATCTAGTTCCCTTTCGAAACGGTTCACTTTGCATTGCGTTTAGATATTAATAATCCACACACTATGGGGAAACTCCATTTTCTCAGAATACTGAAGCCTGATTGGTTCATGTCTGTGGACTTGCACTGACAAATGGCTTTATAGCCCGCTAAGACGAGCCGACCCGACTGCCTGTATATGTTGCGCTCCTATCCATTTCGAGTCAGAATTTCCTCCCTGACTAGGCGCTGACTAAGCAGAAAAAAAAAATGTCAAGGCGCAAACCAAGAAAAGAGCAAATTTCCTCTTCTAATAGAGCTATTTGAGTTGTGTTTGTTGCAAAATGGCGTCCCATCTCCCCAGCTTCCCTCGGGCGAGCACTGAGTCTGGGACGCTCCCACACAGAGGCTGCATGAGGAACGTGACGACCTCCATGTCCCTCACCGCCTCACTCTGAGTCTGGGCCTCATAAATAAATGTGATTTGGCTTGACCATGTCCTGGTCCGGTCAGACAACATGACAGTGGTAGCCCATATAAACACCTGGGGTTCTCAGGCAGAACGGCGCATCTCCTCCTGTGGACTACGTTCGATCAATAAGAGCGATATATGTGCAAGGATCCATGAATACGAGAGTAAACTGAGACGCTTCTGAGCATTTTCAGCCAAGCAGAAATCAAGCGTAGCTTCAGTTCTGGCGTGTCACGTTAGTCAAGCTCGCATCAGTGACTCTCAGCTGATCCACATCTACCTATAGGAATACGACTCCTATCACTGTATACATATATAAGCTCCTTCAGTATTATCAGCTGATATCGCGTTTCTCAGGAGCTGATTACCCTCCTCCCTCCCCAGCTCCTCTCGTTTCTCAGGAGCTGATTATCCTCCTCCCTCCCCAGCTCCTCTCGTTTCTCAGGAGCTGATTACCCTCCTCCCTCCCCAGCTCCTCTCGTTTCTCCGGAGCTGATTACCCTCCTCCCTCCCCAGCTCCTCTTTTTCTCAGGAGCTCATTACCCTCCTCCCTCCCCAGCTCCTCTCGTTTCTCAGGAGCTGATTACCCTCCTCCCTCCCCAGCTCCTCTCGTTTCTCCGGAGCTGATTATCCTCCTCCCTCCCCAGCTCCTCTCGTTTCTCAGGAGCTGATTACCCTCCTCCCTCCCCAGCTCCTCTCGTTTCTCCGGAGCTGATTACCCTCCTCCCTCCCCAGCTCCTCTCGTTTCTCAGGAGCACATTACCCTCCTCCCTCCCCAGCTCCTCTCGTTTCTCAGGAGCTGATTACCCTCCTCCCTCCCCAGCTCCTCTCGTTTCTCCGGAGCTGATTACCCTCCTCCCTCCCCAGCTCCTCTTATTTCTCAGGAGCTCATTACCCTCCCCAGCTCCTCTCGTTTCTCAGGAGCAGATTACCCTCCTCCCTCCCCAGCTTCACTCGTTTCTCAGGAGCGGATTACCCTCCTCCCTCCCCAGCTCCTCTCATTTCTCAGGAGCTCATTACCCTCCCCAGCTCCTCTCGTTTCTCAGGAGCGGATTACCCTCCTCCCTCCCCAGCTTCACTCGTTTCTCAGGAGCGGATTACCCTCCTCCCTCCCCAGCTCCACTCGTTTCTCAGGAGCGGATTACCCTCTTCCCTCCCCAGCTCCACTCGTTTCTCAGGAGCTGATTACCCTCCTCCCTCCCCAGCTCCTCTCGTTTCTCCGGAGCTGATTACCCTCCTCCCTCCCCAGCTCCTCTCGTTTCTCAGGAGCTGATTACCCTCCTCCCTCCCCAGCTCCTCTCGTTTCTCAGGAGCGGATTACCCTCCTCCCTCCCCAGCTCCTCTCGTTTCTCAGAAGCGGATTACCCTCCTCCCTCCCCAACTCCACTCGTTTCTCAGGAGCGGATTACCCTCCTCCATCCCCAGCTCCACTCGTTTCTCCGGAGCGGATTACCCTCCTCCCTCCCCAGCTCCTCTCGTTTCTCAGGAGCGGATTACCCTCCTCCCTCCCCAACTCCACTCGTTTCTCAGGAGCTGATTACCCTCCTCCCTCCCCAGCTCCTCTCGTTTCTCCGGAGCTGATTATCCTCCTCCCTCCCCAGCTCCTCTCATTTCTCAGGAGCGGATTACCCTCCTCCCTCCCCCAACTCCACTCGTTTCTCAGGAGCTGATTACCCTCCTCCCTCCCCAGCTCCTCTCGTTTCTCCGGAGCTGATTACCCTCCTCCCTCCCCAGCTCCTCTCATTTCTCAGGAGCTGATTACCCTCCTCCCTCCCCAGCTCCTCTCGTTTCTCCGGAGCTGATTACCCTCCTCCCTCCCCAGCTCCACTCGTTTCTCAGGAGCGGATTACCCTCCTCCCTCCCCAACTCCACTCGTTTCTCAGGAGCGGATTACCCTCCTCCCTTCCCAGCTCCTCTCGTTTCTCAGGAGCGGATTACCCTCCTCCCTCCCCAGCTCCACTCGTTTCTCAGGAGCGGATTACCCTCCTCCCTCCCCAGCTCCACTCGTTTCTCAGGAACTGATTATCCTCCTCCCTCCCCAGCTCCACTCGTTTCTCAGGAGCGGATTACCCTCCTCCCTCCCCAGCTTCACCTCTCGTCAGTCAGTATTTGGCATTCTGATTCCCCTCGAATCAGAATAAATTCTCGAATTATGTTGTACTTTAAAATCTTGAATTAATGATATCTGCATTCTACATTCATTCATCTACATTCATGTTGGTTCTGTTCTGTTTACCCTAAGGGGGGTTATCGCTGCTCGTATCTATGCTAGGCTGCATGGATGCACAGGGAGTTCTCGTCCAGAACGGAACCATACCGCCAATCCAAACTGTATGCTAATTGTCCATCGTATTTGACGATAGTGGTCCTGACAGAAGTGGGTCTCTCCACATGTAAAGAGAACAACCACTGCCCGATATGTTTCTCAAGGGAACCGGACGCACTGCCCACAGACGACCCTCTCTGCGCCTGTCAAGGCAATTCGTTCCCCATATCGTGTGGATTATTAATATTCAAACACAATGTGAAGTATCGACAGGGAACGCATCGGTTACTCACATAACCTAGTTCCCTGAGATACGGGAACGAGCTGCTACGCTATAGCCTACGTGAGCCGATGCTATCGCTACTGAGTCGAACAATTGTGACTCGAGACGTCTGTTGGCTCTGACTCAGTGTTTCCCCATAGCATACAGATTATTAATAATCCAAACACAACGCTCGTTCCCGTATCTCAGGGAACCGAGTTTACGTCTCTAACTGCTCGCATCTCACAACTCAGATTCGTATTTAATGATTTATTTGCTATATTTATTTAATGCATACAATCGTGAAGTCAATAATAATTCGATTTATTTTGGTTTGATTCATTATAATGTATATAAATATGCATAAAAATATGTGAATATATATATAGTGAATGATTTTCATATTGTTGTTGATGTTTGTCTCCAGGATCCTGGCGCTGAAGGAGAACTTCCTGCTGAAGTTTGAGATGAAGGCGAGTGAGATATGAAGCATAAACTTGTGAGAGTGAGATATGAATAGGGTTGGGTATCGTTTGGGTTTTATCCGATTCCAGTACCTACTCGGTATTTTTTAAACGGTTCCGGTGCTTAAACGGTTCTTAAATCGGTACTTAAGAAAATGAAACCGCACACACTTTATCAAAAAATAATACCCTTTAATTTACAGGGCCAAACTGGACACAATATTAACTTAAATCTTTAAACAATATAAATACAAGTAACATATGGTAATAATAAAACCAATATAAAATAAAAATTCATATTTACATAATATCAAATGAAACAATATTGTATCAAACAATGTAATAATACTGGAGATTAATAGAGATTACTAGCAGGCAGAGCTGCCAACTCTCACGCATTGACCGTGAGACTCACGCAAATGACCCTTTTCACACAGAAAAATCGCGGACAAAGAGGACACTGACAGACAAGACAGAGAAGGTTACTTTTGATATGGAACAAATCCACAGCTGTCAGATTCTGTCAATATTTTTACGAGATTCACACAATAAATAACGTTTTGGCTCTTTGAAATGTGACAGATCGCTGTAGCGCGTCAGTTCAAACGGCACGTGATACAGCAGCCTACAAATCCACTGCTTCTTAGCTACGCAGCGTTGAGTGAACCTATGAAAGAGAACATCTCTGGTTACTGGTGTAACATATCTCTCAATAGGGAACGGGACGCTGCCAAGCTCCTCGCGCTGCCGACCAGCTTCCTTTTTCGGCAGAGAAATCTGAGGAGCAGATGGCGCGCGCGCGACAGCATAGTATGACGACGTAAGTGCGTCGATGCGGCGCCATCAGCCAATGAATTGGCTTGATTCTATATGGGATTCAGACTATCGGCACACCCAGAGGGCGTTCTGACACGTAATTTTACACGTGAAATGCAGCCAAACCTTGCGAGAAAGAGCGCGCATGCGAGACAGAAGAAACTGTGCTCCAAACTGTGTAGCACACGCACGGCGGAGAGAGAGAGAGCGAGAGACCTTGTGTGTGTGTGTGCGCGTGTGTGCCTAATGAAGTTAGGCACCGAAATCAGGCACCGAAATTTTCTTTCTTATTCGGTCTGGTTACTACCGTTTACGTCTGAACCGGTTCCCTATTGGCACCGAGTTTCGGTACCCAACCCTAGATATGAAGCATAACTCGTGAGAGTGAGATATGAAGCATAACTCGTGAGAGTGAGATATGAAGCGTAACTCGTGAGAGTGAGATATGAAGCGTAACTCGTGAGAGTGAGATATGAAGCATAAACTCGTGAGAGTGAGATATGAAGCGTAACTCGTGAGAGTGAGATATGAAGCGTATCTCGTGAGAGTGAGATATGAAGCATAACTCGTGAGAGTGAGATATGAAGCGTAACTCGTGAGAGTGAGATATGAAGCATAAACTCGTGAAAGTGAGATATGAAGCGTAAGCTCGTGAGAGTGAGATATGAAGCGTAACTCGTGAGAGTGAGATATGAAGCGTATCTCGTGAGAGTGAGATATGAAGCGTAACTCGTGCGAGTGAGATATGAAGCGTAACTCGTGAGAGTGAGATATGAAGCGTAACTCGTGCGAGTGAGATATGAAGCGTAACTCGTGCGAGTGAGATATGAAGCGTAACTCGTGAAGCGTAACTCGTGAGAGTGAGATATGAAGCGTAACTCGTGCGAGTGAGATATGAAGCGTAACTCGTGCGAGTGAGATATGAAGCGTAACTCGTGAAGCGTAACTCGTGCGAGTGAGATATGAAGCGTAACTCGTGCGAGTGAGATATGAAGCATAAGCTCGTGAGAGTGAGATATGAAGTGTAACTCGTGAGAGTGAGATATGAAGCATTACTCGTGCGAGTGAGATATGAAGCATAACTCGTGAGAGTGAGATATGAACCATAAGCTTGTTAGAGTGAGATATGAAGCATAAACTCGTGAGAGTGAGATATGAAGCGTAACTCGTGAGAGTGAGATATGAAGCGTAACTCGTGAGAGTGAGATATGAAGCATAACTCGTGAGAGTGAGATATGATGCGTAACTCGTGAGAGTGAGATATGAAGCGTAACTCGTGAGAGTGAGATATGAAGCATAAGCTCGTGAGAGTGAGATATGAAGTGTAACTCGTGAGAGTGAGATATGAAGCATTACTCGTGCGAGTGAGATATGAAGCATAACTCGTGAGAGTGAGATATGAACCATAAGCTTGTTAGAGTGAGATATGAAGCATAAACTCGTGAGAGTGAGATATGAAGCGTAACTCGTGAGAGTGAGATATGAAGCGTAACTCGTGAGAGTGAGATATGAAGCGTAACTCGTGCGAGTGAGATATGAAGCATAACTCATGAGAGTGAGATATGAAGCGTAACTCGTGAGAGTGAGATATGAAGCGTAACTCGTGAGAGTGAGATATGAAGCGTAACTCGTGCGAGTGAGATATGAAGCATAACTCATGAGAGTAAGATATGAAGCGTAACTCATGAGAGTGAGATATGAAGCGTAACTCGTGAGAGTGAGATATGATGCGTAACTCGTGAGAGTGAGATATGAAGCGTAACTCGTGCGAGTGAGATATGAAGCATAAGCTCGTGAGAGTGAGATATGAAGTGTAACTCGTGAGAGTGAGATATGAAGCATTACTCGTGCGAGTGAGATATGAAGCATAACTCGTGAGAGTGAGATATGAACCATAAGCTTGTTAGAGTGAGATATGAAGCATAAACTCGTGAGAGTGAGATATGAAGCGTAACTCGTGAGAGTGAGATATGAAGCGTAACTCGTGAGAGTGAGATATGAAGCGTAACTCGTGCGAGTGAGATATGAAGCATAACTCATGAGAGTGAGATATGAAGCGTAACTCGTGCGAGTGAGATATGAAGCATAACTCGTGAGAGTGAGATATGATGCGTAACTCGTGAGAGTGAGATGAAGCGTAACTCGTGAGAGTGAGATATGAAGCGTAACTCGTGAGAGTGAGATATGAAGCGTAACTCGTGAGAGGGAGATATGAAGCGTAACTCGTGAGAGTGAGATATGAAGCTTAACTCGTGAGAGTGAGATATGAAGCGTAACTCGTGCGAGTGAGATATGAAGCGTAACTCGTGAGAGTGAGATATGAAGCATAACTCGTGAGAGTGAGATATGATGCGTAACTCGTGAGAGTGAGATATGAAGCGTAACTCGTGAGAGTGAGATATGAAGCATAACTCGTGAGAGTGAGATATGAAGCATAACTCGTGAGAGTGAGATATGAAGCGTAACTCGTGAGAGTGAGATATGATGTGTAACTCGTGAGAGTGAGATATGAAGCATAACTCGTGAGAGTGAGATATGATGCGTAACTCGTGAGAGTGAGATATGATGTGTAACTCGTGAGAGTGAGATATGAAGCGTAACTCGTGAGAGTGAGATATGATGCATAACTCGTGAGAGTGAGATATGATGTGTAACTCGTGAGAGTGAGATATGAAGCATAACTCGTGAGAGTGAGATATGATGCGTAACTCGTGAGAGTGAGATATGAAGCATAACTCGTGAGAGTGAGATATGATGTGTAACTCGTGAGAGTGAGATATGAAGCATAACTCGTGAGAGTGAGATATGATGTGTAACTCGTGAGAGTGAGATATGAAGCGTAACTCGTGAGAGTGAGATATGAAGCGTAACTCGTGAGAGTGAGATATGAAGCGTAACTCGTGAGAGTGAGATATGAAGCGTAACTCGTGAGAGTGAGATATGAAGCGTAACTCGTGAGAGTGAGATATGAAGCTTAACTCGTGAGAGTGAGATATGAAGCGTAACTCGTGAGAGTGAGATATGAAGCGTAA